TATTTAATTCATCTAATTACTCAGAAATACACAGCTGGACAGAGAAGTTTATTCATAAGCTTTTACCAGAGCCATGAGATATTTCTATGAATGAGTACAGACTATATATGTTCCATGATGAAAGAGAAGTGAGAGATGGGCACGATGTTTATGATGCGCCCAATATTTTCAAAGCTGTAGTCGACCAGTTTCAAATGATTGATTTAGAGTCTAGGGCATTTATATGTTTGGACAATAATTTAGAAGAATGAAAATAGGTGTAACATTGAGGCTGATGTCATCACATTTTAAGCTCATTTTACAACAAAGTTCTTGATGAAGAGAATCAGTGGTTGAATACGTATTCTCTACATTTCTTGAGAAATGTTCTTTTCCAATGAGATTAGAAGGAAGATATTTTTTTAATGGATTATTATTAAGCTCTAGAAATTCAGAATGTGTGAGAGTATATGCTATTACTTTTGCAAAACTGCAGAGGTGACAGTTTTATGATTCTGAAACTTATAATCTGAACGCTTGAACGTGAGGAAACCTGGGTTCTAGTCCCAGCTCTGTCACTAGCACACTTGGTAGGCAAACACTAATTACCTGATATATCTATGTTTCTGTTCTTTCGTTAATAAAGTGAAAAGACAATATTTTCTTCCTATTTCAAGGGGATATTATTAGGACATATGAAACAGAACTTATTAAAGTACTTGGCACTTGTCAAAAGAAAGATGATCCACAAATCCCCATTATAGTTATACAACACTATATATTCCACCAGACCAGAAACATTTTCATAAATAAGAACAATGTATAAAATTATAAAGAAGGAATCTGGAAAGAAAGTTTTTGAATATGGAATATTAGAAATATCAATTTGTCACTAAATAACTCTAAGTTTCTTCTATGATGCAAGTTTACAGACAAAACGTCTGGCAATGAAGACTGAAATTGGATGCACATATTTGTCTTATTGGCAGTACATTGAATCAGTAGCAATGAACTTCAAAAAGAATTTCATTATCTATCTCCAACTTACTGGGACATCTTGAGAGTGTAATCTATAAGACTTGATTACAGTTTGGGGAAGGATAAGGGAGAAGGAGAAGTTAAGAATTACCTTGGAGACTAAGTTGGTGGAAGCTTATGTCTTCAAAAAACAATAAACTGGTAGAAGTGTGAGTTGATGTAATGGTGTAGGAGTGTGACATGTTAAGATATTGACCTTACTTTTGAATGTGCTGGAGATGCAGGTGTCCAGCATTCTTTAAATTAGTTACATTCCAATCTTATTTTAGGGGGGCTTCACCTAGCCACATTAGCTAGAATTTGGACACCCTGGTTTTTTTTGATGGAGACCTTAAAAAAAGAATACTTTATTCTTGGTGGGAGGGAGACACAAAAGGGAGGGGATATTGGGATATATGTATATGTATAACTGATTCACTTTGTGATTCAGCAGAAACTAACACAACATTGTAAAGCAATTATACCCCAATAAAGTTGTTAAAAATAAACTTTATTCTTTACTATGCAGTTGATAAAAAGAATGGGATAGATCTATATATAACAGTACAAGATAATGCCCTAGATATATTTGCAAAAACAAAGTACACAATAGTGAATATAGTATGCTCCCTTGGGTGAAAAATAAAAGTGATATATGCTTATATATTCATAAACTCATTCTGGAAAGATACAGAAGAGTGGGTAATGTGTTGCCTCATAGGAATGATCTGGAGGACTGAGGGTCTGGAGAAGGAGACAGACTAATTTTATTCCTTGCTCTGAAATCTACATCGTCTGATATGTATATAGTCACCCCAGCTTTTTTTTGAATAGCGTTTGCATAGTACATATTTCTATTTCTCACCCTTTTACTTTTACCCTGTCTGTGTCTTCGTATTTAAAGTGAGTTTCTTGCAAACATGATATATTTGGGTCTTGCTTCCTTGTCTAATCTTTCAACCTGCATTTTAGGTATTTAAACATTGATACTTAAGGTGATTATTGATATTATTGGATTTAAACCTACCATCTTGATATTTGTTTTCTGTCTCATTTTTCCCCCCTTTCCTCTCTTTTTTTGCCGTCTTTTGGACTAATACAGTATTTTTATATGATTCCATCTTGATTCCTTCTTGGCTTTTTAGCTATAAATCTTTGCTTCATAATCTTTTAGTGTTTGCTTCAGGGTTTACATGTGACAGATACTGTGACCACTGTGTGTGTGTATGTATATGTATAAAATCCTAACCTCATAAGGTAAATGTGAATATCTCTATTTCACAGATGAAGGGAAAACATATCACTGAAATGAATGCTTCAGAACCAGAATTCAAACCCAGGTTTTCCTGACTCCAAAACATATTGTAATATCAGGAAAATTTTATAATAACTTTCAACCTTGATATAATCAGAAGTCTATAAAAAAGACATAGGCTAAAAACTGAATTGTTATTACATTTTTAATTATTGAATATATACGTGAAGGTTGCAAAGAGATATAGGGTCTAAACATAATGGATTGCCAGAATTTGGAAATAAATTCAAGAATATGGTACTGTTATCTCTCTCTCTTTGAAGCTAACTATAGTAAAACAGAACAATGAAGAAATTAGCTACCTGCAGAAGTAAACCTTACCCTTAAGGCAAAGTTTTAAAATATGTCACTGATAATATTAATGTGTAGTGCAAATTTCCTTTCATATATTTATAACTGACTAGTGCCTGATTGAAATCACTACAGTATTTGAAAATGCAACTGCCACTAAAGATGGTTTTGGAGGCTTTAGCCCCCTTATAATCTCTTGCCTCCATTTTTAACTGGATAGCCACTCCTAAAACAATTTTTATACAGAGATTCTAGAACTCCTATTGTTTGGGAAAAAGAATGAAAGGAAAAGGGAAAAGGATGCCCCACCAATGAATGTAGATATTCCGGTCTCCTGCAAATTTTAATTCTTATGGTACATATATACATATAATATATATATATAGAGAGAGAGAGAGAAAGAGACTTAATGGAATGATACCATTTATCAGATAATAAAAACTGACTCTATCCTTTCCAATAACTGTTTTGTTAATTAAGATATTAATTGCATACAATAAATATTACCAATTTTAAGTGTACAATTTGATGAATTATGATAATTGCATATAATTGTGTAACCACATCTCCTATCAAGATGTATTAGAACAATTCCTTCACCCTAAAAAAGTCTCTTTCAGGCCTGTTGCCCTTGATGACCTCTCCTCATTCCTGACTCCAGGCAATGCTGATACTCTATTACTGGTAGCTTTGCCTTTTCTAGCATTTCATAAAAATGGAGTTGCATGGGGCTTCCCTGGTGGCGCAGTGGTTGAGAGTCCGCCTGCCGATGCAGGGGACATGGGTTCGTGCCCCGGTCCGGGAAGATCCCACATGCCGTGGAGCAGCTGGGCCCGTGAGCCATGGCCGCTGAACCTGTGCGTCCGGAGCCTGTGCTCCACAACGGGAGAGGCCACAATAGTGAGAGGCCCCCGTACTGCACCAAAAAAAAAAAAAAAAAAAAAAAAAATGGAGTTGCATGAAATATAGTCTTTTGTGTTTGACTTCTTTCATCTTAGCATGCTTTTAAAATTCATCCATGTTGCTGTGTGTGTTGCTGAGAAGTATTCTATGGTATGAATATACCATAATTTATTTATTCATTTGAAAATTGGTGTTACTTTATGTTTTTAGCTGTTATAAATAATGCTGCTATGAATATTCAACTACACATTTTTACATGGATATATGTGTTTATTTCTCTGAAGCAAATACAAGGAGTAGAATTGCTGAATCATAAGGTAAAATGTGTTCAATTTTATAAGACACTGCCAAACTGTTTTATAAAGAGGCTGTACCAGTTTGGCATTCCTACTAACAATGCACTAGATTTTAGTTGCTCCATAACCTTGTCAACACTTATTACTGTCAGTCTTTATTACATTAGCTATTTTAGTGGGTATGTGTTAGTATCTCATTGTGGTTTTAATTTGTTAGGCAATGTTTCAATGAAAGAGCTATATTTCCAATTTGTGCTTTCCTATTGGCAAAAAAACAACTGACTTACGTACATTCTGGTTTATTATTGAGTCATCCATGAAGCTATGTAGCTTCTATCAGTTCCCTACAGTCTTATCTACACTGGATGAATGGTAAAGACTTTTTAAATCTATGGAGCTGAAAACTAGTTCCTATACTTTTCTGTAATTTCATCAGAGTATTGCCTAACCCGTGAGACCTAGCCTGAAGCAGTCGGGTATCCTGCCTCTCTTCCTTCCTTCCTTCCACTCTCCCAATCATTCTTCCGAATATCTCCTCTATTTACAAAGATAGGTGTTAGTTTTGGAAAATTAAAATTATATAGAAAGGTATATATAAGAAAGAAAAAAAATCCATTCAGTTTTACCACCTAAAGACTACCACTATCAACATGTTAATGATTTTTTTCCAGATCTCTCTTTATGTAAAATAAAAAGATTTTGTTATAATGAACTATTTAATTTAATTCTTACAACTATGTGTAGTAGATCATATTTTAACCCCACCATACAGATAATAAAACTAACGAAAAAAAGGTTTCAGTACTTTGTCTCAAATTACAAAGCTTAGTAAGTGGCAGTACTGACATTCAAATTAAGGCAGTGTGAATCCAGACTGCAAGTACTTAACCATGCTTCTGTACCGTCTCTCATATATGTGCCTATGTATACGTGTGTGTATATTCTTTGTCTGTTAATGCAATCATATTATATCTCATGGTTATATTTACATGGTACATTTATTTAACCAAACCCTAATTATCGATATCTAGTTGTTTTCTGTTTTTCAATATTATAAACAACATTGCAAAGAACATTCTCTGTACTATTGTCCAATTATCTCCTTAAGATAATTCCTACTGATGGGAATGCTTAGAGTGTATGCACATTAAAGATTTAATATGTAGTCCCAAATTGCCCTCCAGAAAAGTTGTACTTACTTCTCCGGCAACTGAGCATGAGATTTTCCCTTTCCCTGTATTCCTGCTGGCATTGATCTCTATCCTCACCAGTTTTGGCTTTTTTATAATCTCCATTAACCTGAAAGTTAAGAAATTAAATCACATGTTATTTTATTTCATTTACTTGTTATTGGAGCTAAATTGTTAGTCTTTTAAAATATACAAGTAATACATATATATTCATCAAAAATAGTCAAACAATACAAACTTATATGAAGTGAAAGTAGAAGTCCCACCTCCCATTTTTCTCATAGAAGTATCATTGTAAGAGTTTAGTATATAACTTTGTAGAGCCTTTAATATTTACTTATATATTTATGCATATATATGCTTAATTTTCCTTTGATATAAATGAAAATATCTTATGCAACTTGCTTTTTATTCTTGAAAATATGTCCTAAATAATTTTTCATTTTTCTTTAACTGTTACATATTATTTCACTGTGTGGAGGTACCATAATTTATTTAACTAGTTCTGTTGATGAAATTTAGGTTAATTACATATATATGTATGTGAATAAATATATAGTAAGTACCTACTATATATAAGGACTGTTCAATAAATGAATAATAAATAATAATATCAATTAATAAATATAATAAATAATATTATATATAAATATATAATAATTTAAAAGTCCCTGTCCTGATGAGATTTCCATTTTGCCGCAGTGGACATTCTTATACATTTTTGCACATATACAAGGGCAAAATATTTCTGTAGCCATGTAAACATTTAAAATTTTGATAAATAAACATATAATAGGCCATCAATAAATACTAGTTCAGTAAAGGAATAAAGATTATTCTCTAAAGTTAAATTAAAAAATTAATGATAAGCAGATAAGTTTTATTTGCTGTGCATAGTGATTAAAACTTTTAAAATTAGTTTCCAACACTGAAAAAAGGAGTTAACTAAAATGGAGATTTCTATCATCTTTTGGAAAACTGGAAGACCTGGTAACACTGGTTCACATTTGCACAGGGCAGCTACAGCAAAGTGATGAGTGAGTAGTGGTTTGCCACAGTCTTCACCATTCCAAATTTTCTTATACCAACCTACTGCACTCATCTATGTTATCTGACTGGCTCCCATAGCTTCTGAATTTGCCATTCTCCATTATGGAATAAAGAAAAAAGATATCTAAACGAGACAGAATGAGTCTCAGGCCTTTAATGCTTACCCATGACCTCATGCAATATATTAATTCCTGTAATACAATTTGTGTCTTTCAAACAATAGCAAACATCAATGAAACTGAAAGCTGGTTCTTTGAGAAGATAAACAAAATTGATATATCTTTAGCCAGACACATCAAGAAAAAAAGGGAGAGGACTCAAATCGATAAAATTAGCAATGAAAAAGGAGAAGTTACAACTGACACCACATAAATACAAAGGATCATAAGAGACTACTACAAGCAACTATATGCCAATAAAATGCACAACCTGGAAGAAATGGACAAATTCTTAGAAAGGTACAACCTTCTAAGACTGAACCAGGAAGAAATAAAACATATGAACAGATCAATAACAAGTAATGAAATTGAAACTGTGATTAAAGATTTTCTAACAGGGCTTCCCTGGTGGTGCAGTGGTTGAGAGTCCGCCTGCTGGTGTGGGGTACACGGGTTCGTGCCCCGGCCGGGGAGGATCCCACATGCCGCAGAGCGGCTGGGCCCGTGGGACATGGCCGCTGAGCCTGCGTGTCTGGAGCCTGTGCTCCCAAACGGGAGAGGCCACAACAGTGAGAGGACCGCATACCGCAAAAAAAAAAAAAAATTTCAAACAAAGAAAAGTCGAGGACCAGACGGCCTCACAGGCGAATTCTATCAAACATTTAGAGAAAACCTAACACCTATCCTTCTCAAACTCTTCCAAAAAATTGCAGAGGGAGGAACACTCCCAAGCTCATTTTACGAGGCCACCATCACCCTGATAAAAAACCAGACAAAGATATCACAGAAAAAGAAAATTACAGACTGATATCACTGATGAACATAGACACTAAAATCCTCAACAAAATACTAGCAAACAGAATCCAACAACACATTAACAGGATCATACACCACGACCAAGTGGGGTTTATCTCAGGAATGCAAGGATTTTTCCATATCTGCAAATCAATCAATGTGATACACCATGTTAACAAACTGAAGAATAAAAACCATCTGATCTTCTCAATAAATGCAGAAAAAGCTTTTGACAAAACTCAACACCCATTTATATAAAAACTCTCCGGAAAGTGGACATAGAGGAAACCTACCTCAACATAACAAAGGCCATATATGAGAAACCCACAGCCAGCATCATTCTCAATGGTGAAAAACTGAAAGCATTTCCTCTAAGAACAGGAACGAGACAATGATGTCCACTCTTGCCACTATTATTCAACATAGTTTTGGAAGCACTAGCCACGGTGATCAGAGAAGAAAAATAAATAAAAGGAATCCAAATTGGAAAAGAAGAAGTAAAACTGTCACTGTTTGCAGATGACATGATACTATACATAGAAAATCCTAAACATGCCACCAGAAAACTACTAGAGCTCATCAATGAATTTGGTAAATTTGCAGGATACAAAATTGATCACAGAAATTTCTTGCATACCTATACACTAACAATGAAAGATCAGAAAGAGAAATTAAGGAAACAATCCCATTTACCACTGCAACAAAAAGAATAAAATACCTAGGAATTACCCTACCTAAAGAAGCAAAAGACCTGTACTCAGAAAACTATAAGATACTGATTAAAGTAATCAAAGATGACACAAACAGATGGAGAGATATACCACGTTCTTCGATTGGAAGAATCAACATTGTGAAAATGACTCTACTACCCAAAGCAATCTACAGATTCAATACAATCCTTACCAAATTACAATGGCATTTTTCACAGAATCAGAACAAAAAATTTTACAATTTGTATGGAAACACAAAAGACCCCGAATAGCCAAAGCAATCTTGAGAAAGAAAAATGGAGATGGGGGAACCAGGCTCCCTGACTTCAGACTATACTACAAAGCTACAGTAATCAAAACAGTATGGTACTGGCACAAACACAGAAATATAGATCAATGGAACAGGATAGGAAGCCCAGAGAAAAACTCATGCATCTATAGTCACCTAATCTATGACAAAGGAGGCAAGAATATACAATGGAGAAAAGACAGTCTCTTCAATAAGTGGAAAAACTGGACAGCTATGTGTGAAAGAATGAAATTAGAACACTCCCTAACACCATACACAAAAGTAAACTCAAAATGGATTAGAGACCTAAATGTAAGACCAGACACTATAAAACTCTTAGAGGAAAACATAGGAAGAACACTCTTTGACATAAATCACAGCAAGATCTTTTCTGACCCACCTCCTAGAGTAATGAAATAAAAACAAAAACAAACAAATGGGACCTAATTAAACTTAAAAACTTTTGCACAGCAAAGGAAACCATAAACAAGATGAAAAGACAACACTCAGAATGGGAAAAAAATATTTGCAAATGAAGCAACTGAAAAGGGATTAGTCTCCAAAATATACAAACAGCTCATGCAGCTCAATATCAAAAAAACAAACAACCCAATCAAAAGATGGGCAGAAGGCCTAAATAGACATTTCTCCAAAGAAGACATACAGATGGCCAACGAACACATGAAAAGATGCTCAACATCACTAATTTGAGAAAGGCAAATCAAAACTACAATGAGGTATCACCTCACACTGGTCAGAATGGCCATCATCAAAACAATCTACAAACAGGTTTCTGCAGAGCTGGAACTCCCGGCTTGGGGTCTCTTCCCTCCGCCGTCACGGAACTGCCCCGTAGCCCGAGGGGAGGTCGGCCTCACTGAGGCTTCCGGGTCTGGAGGGGCCCCCGCAGCCGAAGCCACGACAGTCATGGGGACGGCGTGCCGGGCTTCCGGGAAAATGGCGGAAGAGTAAGATGTGGAAATCACCTTCCTCCCCACAGATACACCAGAAATACATCTACATGTGGAACAACTCGTACGGAACAACTACTGAACACTGGCAGAAGACCTCAGACCTCCCAAAAGGCAAGAAACTCCCCACGAACCTGGGTAGGGCAAAAGAAAAAAGAATAAACAGAGACAAAAGGATAGGGACGGACCTGCACTAGTGGGAGGGAGCTGTGAAGGAGGAAAGGTTTCCACACAATAGGAAGCCCCTTCGCAGACGGAGACTGCGGGTGGTGGAGGGGGAAAGCTTCAGAGCCGTGGAGAAGAGCACAGCAATAGGGGTGCGGAGGGCAAAGCAGAGAGATTCCCGCACAGAGGATCAGGGCTGACCGGCACTCATCAGCATGAGAGGCTTGTCTGCTCACCCGCCGGGGCGGGCAGGTCTGGGAGTTGAGGCTCGGGCTTCGATAGGCGCGCCGGGAGAGGACTGGGGTTGGCGGCATGAACACAGCCTGCAGGGGGTTAGTGCACCACGGCTAGCCGGGAGGGAGTCCGGGGAAAAGTCTGGACCTTACAAAGAGGCAAGAGACTTTTTCTTCCCTCTTTGTTTCCTGGTGCACGAGGAGAGGGGATTAAGAGCGCTGCTTAAAGGAGCTCCAGAGACGGGCGCGAGCCATGGCTAAAAGCGCGGACCCCAGAGACGGGCATGAGATGCTAAGGCTGCTGCTGCCACCACCAAGAAGCCTGTGTGTGAGTACAGGTCACTACCCACACCCCCCTTCCTGGGAGCCTGTGCAGCCCGCCACTGCCAGGGTCCCGGGATACAGGAACAACTCCCCCGGAAGAACGCAAGGCACGCCTCAGGCTGGTGCAACGTCACGCTGTCACACCGGCCTCTGCCGCTGCACACTCGCCCCGCACTCTGTGCCCCTCCCTCCCCTCGGCCTGAGTGAGCCAGAGCCCCCGAATCAGCAGCTCCTTTATTTAACCCCGTGCTGTCTGAGCGAAGAACAGACGCCCTTTGGCAACCTACATGCAGAGGCGGGGCCAAATCCAAATCTGAGCTCCTGGGAGCTGTGAGAACAAAGAAGAGAAAGGGAAATCTCTCCCAGCAGCCTCAGAAGCAGCGGATTAAAGATCCGCAAACAACTTGATGTACC